GTGCTTTGGAAAATAGCTTGACTCCCTCTTCTTTGTGGCAGCCCCTGAGATATTGGAACACTGCTATCATGTCCCCCCTCGTCCTTCTCTTCATTAAACTAGACTAGGGGTAGGTAACCCAAAACACTCGAAGAGCCACTTAGACCCGTTTCCCACCAAAAACAAAACACCGGGAGCCGCAAAACCCTTTTGATATCTAAAATAAAGATAACACAGCATATATCCTTTTTTACCTTTATTATAGGTGTGTGTGTGTGTGTGTGTGTGTGTGTGTGTGCACACACACACACACACACACACACACACATACACACACAGGTAAAAAAAGGATATATGCAGTGTTATCTTCATTTTAGATGTCAAAAGGGTCTCTCTCTCTCCCTCCCTCTCTATCTGCCCTTGGTCTGCCACTCCTCTTCCCCCACTCTCTTTCTTTCTCTCTCTCTCTCTTTCCTCTCTCTCTCTCTCTCTCTCTCTCTCCCTCCCTCTCTCTCTCTCTTTCTGTCCCCCCTCTCCTATCTGCTGCTCACCAGGCAAGCTGGCTTCAAGCTGTTCTCCAATAAGCTCAGGGGTAGGCAACCTCGGCTCTTTTATGACTCATGGACTTCAACTCCCAGAATTCCTGAGTCAGCCTAGCTGGGCTAGCTAGCTCTCCTGCTCTTCCTGCTTCCTGCAGAGATGCAGCAAAAGGAGGAGCTCCGCCCAGTAAGCTTTTCAGCTCCTCGGAGAACACTGTGAGTGCACTCTCTTTTACACACACACACACACACACACACACACACACACACACACAAAACACAAACAGAGAGCGAGAGAGAGAGAGAGAGAGAGAGAGAGAGAGAGAGAGAGAAGCAGGGAAGCGCAATTGCCTGTCTCTGTCTCTGTCTCTCTCTGCAAAGGCAGAGGAGGCTGGGAGCCACAGGGGAAGGCTCAAAGAGCCGCATGCGGCTTCGGAGCCGCAGGTTGGCAACCTGTGAACTAGACATACCCAATTCCAGCAACCTTTCCTTATATGTTTTAGCCTCCAGTCCCCTAATCATCTTTGTTGCTCTTCTCTGTACTCTTTCTAGAGTCTCAACATCTTTTTTACATCGTGGTGACCAAAACTGGATGCAGTATTCCAAGTGTGGCCTTACCAAGGCATTGTAAAGTGGTATTAATACTTCACATGATCTTGATTCTATCCCTCTGTTAATGCAACCCAGCACTGTGTTGGCTTTTTTGGCAGCTGCAGCACACTGCTGGCTCATATTTAAGTGATTGTCCACTAGGACTTCGAGATCCCTCTCACAGTTACTACTATTGAGCAAGGTACCCCCTATACTATACCTGTACATTGGTTTTTCTTGCCTAAATGTAGAATCTTACTTTTTTCACCATTGAATTTCATTTTGTTAGATAGTGCCCAGTGTTCAAGTCTGTCCAGATCCTCCTGTATCCTAAGCCTTTCTTGGTGTTGTGTGCAAATTTGATGAGTTCCCCATCTATCCCCTCATCCAAATCATTGATGAAGATGTTGAAGAGCACTGGGCCCAGAACAGAGCCCTGGGGCACCTCACTACACACTTCCTCCATGTAAATGCGGTTCCATTGAGGACCACATGCTGAGTACAGCCGGTCAGCCAGCTATGAATCCATCTGGTGGTGATGCTGTCTAACCCACATTTTTCTATCTTATCAAGTAGTAGGTTGTGATCTATTTTATCAAATGCCTTACTGAAGTCCAAGTAAATTATATCCACAGCATTCCTCTGGTCCACTAATTTTGTCACTTGGTCAAAGAATGCAATAAGATTTGTCTGGCATGATCTGTTTTTGACAAACCCATGTTGGTTTTTAGTAATGACTTTGTTTGCCTCAATGAATTCGCTGATTCATTGTTTGATTATCTTTTCTAGAATCTTCCCAGGTATTGAGGTCAGGCTGATAGGTCTGTAATTTCCTGGATACACTTTCCCCCTTTTTTGAATATGGGAACTACATCAACTCTTTTCCAGTCCTCTGGTAGTTCCCCAGTGCTCCAGGATCTTTGAAAAATATAGTTCAATGGTTCTGAGATCACATCTGCCAGTTCCTTGAGAACCTTGGGGTGTAATCAATCTGGTCCTGGTGATTTGAACTTATCTAGGCTGGACAGGTGCTCACTTACCATTTTCTTGCCTATCTTCTGTTTCTATTCTGTTTTTTATGGCACTTTTTTGATAGGTTGGTTTGTTTTTTCCCTTTGTGTAAAGACAGATGCGAAAAATGAGTTAAATAGTTCTGCCTTCTCCCTATTGCTTGTCACCTTCTTGCCACTTTCATCCACTAATGGACCAATCATTTCCTTCACCCAGCTATCCTCTCAGCTTTTAATCTCTTTTAAATAATACCAAGGACAGATCTGGGCTATGAGCAGGTCTCTTTTTGTCAAGAATATTCACTTGTTGTACCAAATTTTGCCATAAGATGTCCTCAATAGTATTTAAAAAATTTTTTCAAATCCCAGGCTAGGTTTTTTCATCTTTTTTATGAGTAGATAGAGTAGCAAGCCCCCGTGAGAGTAGGAAGTTTTTGGGTCCCAAAATATTAAAAAGAAGCAAATTCAATTATTTAGTTGTTCTTTTCAAGGCTTTATTTCCCATAAGTAGTCAGAGGCCACCATTTTAGAGGGTGGGAGGAAAATGTTCCCTTCCCTCTCTCCTCACAGGGGGAAGAAATTTCAAGAAGCTTTTTACATGAAAAATACTTGGGGTACAAAGAAGGTAGGATCTCACCCAATTCCTCTGCGGTGTTTTCAAAGTGCTTGTTAGTAATTTTGGCCTTGGCCGGTAGCGGCATAGTGATGGGCCATGTTAATGGCCAATCCTTTCCCCATCAGTTCAAAGAGCTGCCCGGGATCAAACGGGAGGGCTGCCACTCTTCTGTGATCACTTGGAGGTCCTCTTCACGCTCATTGCCCCTCCAGTGTGACTTTCGACCCTTTTCAGGGTCCCCCAGTGGGAGAAAACCAGAAGGCGGAGAGAGTGATCACTCTGAACGTCCGCCAACACCACGATCGCAAACCGGAAGCCGGTCCTAACTTCTTTCTAGGTAACTTAAGCTGTAAATATTTAGTTGACAGATAAACCTTTTCCCCAACTTGGAATGTTCTTTGGGGAGCCCTTTTTTATCTGCCTGTTTTTTTGTATATCACGGAAGCCTTTTTAAAAGCAGTTTTTGTGGTTTTCCAAACTTCTTCCCACCTCCTCACCCATTGATCAAGAGTCTGGGAAGTGGAGGGTGCTTGGGGGTATTTGGGTATTGGGCTGAACTCTTTTCCTGTGGCCACTTTAAAAAGTGTGAAGCCAGTGCTGCTGTGAATAGAGTTATTGTAAGCCACCTCTGCAAAAGGGAAGAGGTCGGTCAACATAGCATAATAATCAACATAATAATCAACATAACATCTGAAATACTGCTCCACCATTGAATTTGCGGATTCAGCCATCCCATTAGTAGACGGGTGAAAAGCAGATGATAGTCCTTAAGATGAGCCAATTAGATTAAGAAATCTCCTCCAAAACACAGCTGTGAACTGCACCCTTCTGTCAGAGATTATTCATTTAGGTGCGCCATGCAGTCTGTAGATGTGTTTCAGGAACATTCTGGTTAGTCGTTGGGCATAACTGGTTAGTCGTTAGCAGGCAATGAAGTGAGCCTGCTTTGAGAACAGATCTATCACAGTCCAGATGACCATATTTCCCCTACTTTCAGGTAGATCTACTATAACATCCATAGCAATTTCTTCCCATGGTTGGGAAGGGTCTGCCACCGGTTGCAATAACCTAGGGGGTTTCCCCGGAATTCTTTTCATGGTGGCACATACAGCACAAGTCCAGACATAGTTTTCCACGTCCCGTTTCAATCCCAGCCACCAGAATTGATGGCTGATGAGGTGTAGTGTTCTTAAATATCCAAAGTACCCAGCCTGCTTTACGTCATAGCTGTGTCAGAGCGCTTTAAGGCAGAGGGTCTCTAGCAAATATAGTTTTCCACCTTTGTAAGCCAAACCATCCCTACATGTTAGGAAGGTTTGATTGTTCTTGAACCAGTGGTTGGTGAGGAGCTCTTGTTTTATTTTCTTTGCCCCAGGGTCATTGGGATTAGGGGCTCTTGGAGATAGGACTCTGCACGATGTAAGTTGAGAAGTGGTTTGTATATTGGAGATAATTGCCTCATTAACCACTTCACGCTGGCTTTTGTACTGGGGCAGTCTGGATAGAGCATCAGCTAAGAAGTTTTTTCCTCCCGGTATGTACTTTAGTGTGAAGTTAAAATGGTTAAAGTACTGCACCCATCATACTTGTTTCAAAGAAAATTTGCAGGAAGTCTTTAGTGCTTCTAGGTTTTTGTGATCAGTCCATATCTCGAAAGGCACCTTACTCCCCTCTAGATGGTGTCACCAGTTTAATAGAGCCCAGTGGATTGCAAAAGCTTCCTTTTCCTACACAGCCCACCTCCTTTCGCAGTCAGTGAATTTTTTCGAGGTGTAGGTGCAGGGTTGTAGGATCCTACTGTGGTTCTTTTGCAGTAACACAGCTCCAATGGCCACCTCGCTGGCATCGGCTTGAATCACAAAGAGCTTCCTTGGGCAAGGATGTTTTAAGACCGGTTTGAGTGTAAATAGTCTTTTTAAATTTTCAAAAGCGGTTTGACCGTGCTAGTGGTTAGCTGGATGCAGCTTTCCTCTCCCTTTGCTTGTTTTTAGTAATCTCATAAGGGGCAGGGCAATTTCAGAAAAGGAGGGGATGAATTGACTGTAGAAGTTGGCGAATTCCAGAAAGCTCTGGAGCTGTTTGTGAGTCTTTGGGAGTTGCCATTCAATTATGGCTTTCACTTTGGTCGGGTCCATTTCAATGCCCGCGCTGGAAATTCTGTAGCCAAGATAATCCAGTTGGGTCTGGTGAAACTCACACTTTGATAGTTTAACATAAAGTTTGGCGTTCAACAGTTTCTTTAGCACTTCTCTCACTAGTTTTATGTGGTCAGCCATATTCGTGCTGTATATCAGGATGTCATCAAGATACACCAAAACCCATTTGTATAAATGGTCATGTAGTACCTGATTAATCAGCTGCATGAAGACAGCTGGAGCCCCTTGCAGTTCAAAAGGCATGACTTTAAATTGGTAGCTCCCCATGGGACAGTTAAAAGCAGTCTTCCACTCATCTCCCTCCTTTATCCTCACCCAGTAAGAAACCTCTCTCAAATCCAACTTAGTGAATACCCTCCCCTTAGCTGGGTGGGTCAGTAAGTCCTTCAGGAGGGGGAGAGGATATTTGTTTTCCATGCTCACCACATTCAGACCTTTATAATCTATGCAGAGAAGAAGTGACCCGTCTTTTTTTTCTTTAAATAACATCGGGGTCCCACAGCAGACCTGGCCAGTTTGATAAATCCCCTTGCTAAGTTTTTATCCACATACCACTGTATCTCCTCCATTTGAAGGGGGGAACATAGCATACATTCTTGGTTGTGGGAGTTTGGCTCCCAGTAACAGTTCGACAAAGCAATCATTGAGTCGGTGGGGAGGCAGGGTGTTGCATTCCTTCTCACTAAATGCCTCCGCTAGTTCCTGTTATTCAGTGGGGATGAATGGCTTGCCTGGTTGAGACAAGGTGGCCTTGTGCGCTAGCTTGTTGGGTGGGCTAAAGTCTACTATAACATCCATCGAGTTAAGGTGGTACGTGGGTCCTATAGGTAATCTCACAATCCTCATTCCCTTCTCCCATCAGATAAATGACTTCTATTTGTCCACCCAGGCTAGCCCTAGTATCACAGCCTCAGTCATTTTTGGAGCCACCATGAAACAAATGAACTCCCAGTGCTCACCTATTTCTAAGTGTAGGGGTTCGGTCAATTGCATGACTAAAGTTCCTCCCATTAGGGAGCCATTGGCTTGTTCAAACCCCAGGAGATTGGAGAGCAGCCTTGCTTATATGCCCATTTTCTGGGCAAGTAACAAGCTAATAATGCATCGGGAGCCTCCAGAGTCGACTAGTACTTTTAAATCTACCTGTGCCCCTGTCTTAGGGATTATGAGTTTGGCAGGTAGTGAAAAAGGTGGGACATGTCGACTCACCATCGGGTTGTTCTCTCCTTTGTTGTCACTGTCGTAGGAGGTAGAGCAGCGGCAGGTCCGGCTTGAGTCTCGGCACTCTCCTGCGTGGGAGATGTGACTTGGGCAACAGGTTCCTGGGCAATCCAGTTGGATTTCTCTTTTGTTGACTGCTGGGTTGGTTTCTTTCTTGCTGGTGGTCCCGGTCTATTCTGCTTCTGAAGGTAAGGGACTGGGCAATTCACTGCTCTCAGTCCTAGAAGGAAGAGATGGGGGTGCTCTAACTTGGGTGCTTGCTCATTATATAAATTGTTCAGCCACTCGGATGCTTCTCCTTCCAAGCTGGACGCAATCCCATTGACCATAGCGGCTGGGTTTGGATAAAAATGGGCACAGTGGTTCAAGTGGGAGTGCACCTGATTGAGGAAAAAGATCAGCTTCTCCAGGTCCCCATTGAAGGTGGTTCTAAAAGGTGGCGCCATCAGAGGTTGCTGGCCTCCCCACTGTGGATGTTTCATCCCCAATTGTTGCTGCCCCCCCCCCGTGGTGGCTGCCGCATCCCCAGTTGCTGCAAGCCTCCCAGCAGTTGTTGCACACCCGGGGGCTGTTGCCACCCCCATGGCTGTTGTTGCATTGCTGGCAGCAGTGGCACCCCCAATTGCTGTATGACCCTCACCAGTCTCAGTGGGTGTTGTAATGGCACCCCCAACTGCTGCAGCCTCCCAGCAATTGCTGCATGGGTGGGGGCTGCTGCCATCCCGACTGCTGCTGGCCTGTGGAGGGTTGTAGTGCCCCCAGTTGCTGCAGGCCCTCCTGTGGCCCCAGAGGTGGTTGTTGCTGGATCCCCATCAGTTGTGGGCCACTCAGCAGTTGCTGCACGTTCAGAGGCAACGGCCAGCCCAACTGCTGCTGCAGTGCTCCCAGTGGTTGCTGACCCCCTGGAGGCTGCATCACCTCCAGTTGTTGCAAGGTCCCCATCTGCTGCTGCACATTCGGGAGCTGTGGCCACCCCCAGCTCAGCTGCAGCACCGCCAGGACTGCTGGCTTCCCACCTGGGGAGGCTGCAACATTCCCCATTGTTGTGCGGGCCCCGGGCAGGGTGGCTGGTAGGCACATCCATCCAGGATTTGGCTGTCCCGGTGACAGCTCGGGCTCTTATCCCATTGGCGGCAATCTGGGTTTTTGGAGGAGTGACGACTGGAGCTCTCTCTTCCCACAGGGCTGGAGACCATGGTCGGTGGCTTCGAGGATGTGGAGGCTGCCTGATCTGCACAGGGTGGACTGGGGATTCCCCTTGGTAGGAGTTGGTGGGCACAATTCCCTCCTCCAATTAACAGTCATACATCACATTCCCCAATTAGCTTGAAGCACGGCCTCTCTCCCCAGCTCTCCAGCCCGCCAAATCTTTATCAGTCCTGGGCACAATAACCTTGATTCTCACAGCTGAATTATTGTTCTTATGACTAACTGGACTCTCATCCACATCCCCCCTCCAAGCATCATCTTACTCTAAAAGCAAAAGAGAAAAGATGGCTACATTTCCATCTGTTGTCAAATCAAGAACATCCAATATTAGCAGCGTTGACACTATGCTTGTGAAAAAGTCATAGTAACTCTCTCTATTTTGGATAACTTATGCTCCCTTGAGAGGGCCATAATATTGGAGTATAAAGAAAAAGGACTACCAGCTGCAAGATTGGTGATCTCAATTACAGCAGCAATGGGTGCACAGTAGAAGAACCTGAAGAGCCAGATTTGGGGACATATTGTTTTGGAGGAGGCCAATCTATGTGGTCACTAAGTCAACACCAATTTGCTGTCACATAGTCCAACTATAATATATTCTTGTACAAACACATAATCTATATTCATATATAAAAATCAGAGTCAGTGTGTTATATTGGGACACTATAGAGCAACTGTAGTGTATGTCATGGAGGCTTGGCAAGATGATAGAGGAGTTCTATAGGAGCCCATCAGCTACTGGTCAAAATAGTGAGCAAAGGTTAGTTAAGGTTTAATCTTCCATCTCCCTTTCCAGGCTTCTCTTGAGGCTTTTGCTGCTGTTTGTGTATATTTACCTTCTTCTGAATAGTTCGATGAAGGTGTAGTGACTGTCCTAGTACTTAGGAGCTCTGGCTGAGCTGATACAGCAAAGTCAGTGTGACAAAGAAAATGTTTTGCTCCAGTTTCAAATAAATTATGGCAAAATAAAAATGGCTCAATTTCTTTAAAACTAGCCAATATTGCATGATTGTGAGTCTAGACTGGTACCAGTGGTTCACATGGAAATACGCTGAATTGAACCAAATGGAAATATGCTACATTATCTTCATACATGTTTAGATGTCACATGATACAGTTACCATGACTAAATTCGTTCTGCTTCTGCCCCTTTCTCCTCCGCCTTTGATTTCCTTTTCTTCTCCTCAGGTACTTGAAGGAAACACTAATCCATATGACATTGTCCTCAAGGACCTGGAACCGCCTATTATTGGGAGATTCATTCGCTTCATCCCTGTGACTGATCACTCTACAAATGTGTGTCTCAGAGTCGAGCTGTATGGTTGTGTTTGGTTGGGTAAGCACAACAACCTTTGAAGAGAATTCACATTGAAGGAATATTTCAGTCAGGGAACAGCAGATAGATAAAGGAGAAGTCCTAAGGCCCAAATTATCAATAGGCTAAAAGATGCAAAGGGTAGATGTTTGTGGAGATGGGCCTCCAATTGTCTAATGTTTCTACCTCAGCAAACTTTAAGATGTGTAAACATTAACTCTCAACTGAAATCCAGACATCTTAAAGTTACTGAGATTGAGAAACACTGACCTAGAAAAACAAGTCTACTCTCTAACTGTGTGGAATGCAAATGCACCTTTCCTAACCAGAGATAAGCACAAGAAAATATTATTTTATAAGCTTAAACAAAAGCTGAGTTTTACAGGTAGTCTTGATTTGCCTAAGCAGAACCAGCTAGAGGTTTTTTTTTGATGTTTGAGTAGATCCCGCTGCCATCCCCCAGATATTCTACCATAGCAACATAATGCATGTTGGAGCTGTGGAATGAAATTGGACTTACATTTGCTTGGAAATATGCTTTGATTTCTGTTTCTTATGAGATGTGTGTCTTTGTTATTGATAACAGAGTATTGACTGACACTGGGTTCTTGGGAAATTTTTTCCTTTTTTTACTATTAAGTGTCTTGTGTTAATTGGACTGGTACAAGAAAAATACAAACTGAAGATTTTTATGCTAGAACATTGTAACATCACTCTATCACTGTAGCAATATATAGTCTATATTAATGTTTGATCACTATTGCAGTGATTGATTGACACTCTAGTTTATTAGTGTCCGAATCCTAATTGTTTTATATTAGTTCCAATGGTGCTTTTCCAAAAGGCAGCTGGACTATCTTGACTTTTTCTTTGAAAACATTTTGTTTCTCATCCAAGAAGCTTCTTCAGTGCTGAAATCATATGTGAAGTGGAAACAATTTTAAAGGCAGAAAACAAATGTACTATCTCTGTGCAGAGGCTGGATTTATTAAATTATGCAAAAAGAAAGACTTTTTTAGTGTACTTTATAAGACTGAAATGGAGTTGCTTACAGCTTCCTTTCATTCCTGATATAGCATTAATAATTTCAGTTCAGTCAATAATTCTGGAAATTGATGCATTCCCAGCTTTCAGGCTCTGTGGTTCTAAACTGATTTTCAAAGCTTGTCTTATTATCATCAATAACAAAAAACAAAAGTGACTTCCGTGGAAGAAATGTCAGGCTGAAGATGGCTCTGAAAAGGAGAGCCAATGATTGCAGCAGAATGCAGAGCCTGTACACTGGCTTTTTGATAATTCCTCTCTGGACAAAAAGAGCACTTGAGATCACCCACGTGTGCCCCAAACAGCTGCTCTTCATGACAAAACTGCAAGTTAGCAGCCTCCAGCAGATGTAGTGCTTTGAGAGATGAGAGAACAGCCATCTTGCTCAAATCACAATCGATGTCTTTGAAAGGACACTATATTAGCAAAATTTCTTATCAATTTCAGAAATTGCTTGTTAGCTGCTTTTTAGCTATTATGAACCTTTGGATTGACAGGTTTGACAGTACTGGGGAATTTCCTTCAATCCTTAGTGAAAGACAGTTTTAATTACAAGTTTAAGAACTTTAAACAATTATTTTGGAATACAGCAAAAGGATAATTAAAACTTTGATTTTAGCAAAATGGATTAAAGGTCCAGATAAATTTGAAATAAGATTTTGGAATTAATTACAAAGAATCCTTCCCATAGGAAAACTCAATATAAAAATTTTAAAATTGGACACTAGAGGGAACTAAAGATTATAATTAAAGGAAAAGAACACTTATACTTGACTTACAATTACAAAATGAAGCAAAATATTTCAGCTGGACATATTGAATATTTTTGAACAATTTTATTATGTTTCAGGCAACTGAAGGAGGTTTTCAATAAATGCATTAGGTGTTTAACACATTACACTAATTGATAAGGTACTTGTAATCTGTCTTGCATGTAACCATCCTATTTTCCCTTCCTCCCCCGCCTCCAATTTAAATTTACATCAGTCTAGCCATTCTATGTATCTAAAGAAGCAAGCTGCAATTTACAAAACTTATGCCTTGTAATAAAATGTGTTAGTTGGAAAAAAAAAAAACCAAAAGTAACGCTGCTTCTATTCCTTTATAGATGGATTGGTTTCATATAATGCTCCAGCAGGGCAACAATTAGTTCTCCCCGATGGCCATGTGATCTACTTGAATGATTCAGTCTATGATGGTTATAGGTAAGTTCTCTATTCATATGTCCAATGAGGGAGAGGGAAATCTTTTAGACCATATTAATATTTGAACAAAATTGTCCAGTGTTCAAATGAGAACAAAATAAAATATAAAATGTAACTACAGTATTTTGCAGGAGATTTTTGGCTCTCTGACACCTTCATATAATTTTGATGATTAGGGAGAGGTCTTGTACTCAGTGCAACCATCCTTATTTCCAGATGTGCGTCTTACGTGACCAATAGTGTGTAGGCTAAAGCTCAGATATTTGTAAAAAAAAAAAAAAAACCATTATAAATCTGATGAATACAAAATATGCATTTGAAAAAAATGTTATGAGGTGGCAGAAACTGAAACCAAGAGATGTTACAATATAGATACAGACAGTTCTTGATTAATGGCTGGTTGTTTAGTGACCTCCCCAGGGTTACTTATTACCTAGCTTTGAAGTTCTAAAATGGCTGCCCCCCTCCTGCGGTCAGCTGGCATGCATTCATACCCATTTGCAGCACACAGCAGTTATCTGACCATGGAGTTGGCGTGGGTTCCGGATGACGTGTCCAGCCTGCAGGCAGTAGTTTGACACCCCTGACATAGTGACTCTGTCATGGCTCTGATAGATGAAACCCATCAAAAGAACTTTGAGGCAAAATTCTTCCTTAAAGAACATTTTATTTGGGAAACAAGGTATTGGCACTACATAGTTGAACCCAAAAACTAAATTCCCTTCCCCCGGATACAAAGTAACAAAGTGCAATTCCCACCCCCAATGAGCTGTCATAAATCACATTCTCCAATTAACTTAAAATGCGGGCTTTCTCCCCAGCTCCTCAGCCTGCCCAAACATTATCAGCTTGTCCTTGGGTTCCCATGAAACAGCATTATTATTATTATAGCTAGCTGATCTTTCATTCCAACCCCCTCTTCTGCACATGATTTCTAAATATCAGAAAAAGCCTATTAAAGGAAAGAAGAAAATGGCTGCATTTTCATCAATTGTCAAAGTGGGAACATAGCAGCATTGACATCCGCCCCCCCCTTACAAAAAGGACAAATCCTGCAATTCAAACAAAATCCTAGGTTAGGGGTTGCTCCTTAGTTTATTAGGGTGCTTCTCATAGAATTTACTAATGAGCCTGTCAGCTTTTATATCACTAGATTTTACCCAGGTGGCTTCAGATAATGGATATCCTTTCCACTGTACTAAGTACTGTAACTTTCCCTTAAAAAGTCTAGAACCAAGAATATGTTTCACTTCATAATGAGTCTGTCCAGCTACCACGAGAGGATCAAGTGTCTTCTTAGGGGGAGGTTGTAAAGTAGAAAAAATTTCAGTAGGCTACAATGGAACACAGGATGGACTTTCCCTAAGAGTCTGTGACTGGGTTAATTATTCTTACAATGGGGAAGGGACCTAGGCACTTCGGTCCCAATTTCTTACTGGGCAACTTAAATCGTAAATACTTGGTGGATAAGTAAACTTTTTCCTTAACCTGGAATGATCTTTGGGGAGCCCTCTTTTTATCTGCTTGCTTTTTCTATGTCTCAGAAGCCTTTTTCAGAGCAAATCACATTTTGTCTCAAACCTCCTCCCATCCCCTCACCCATTGATCAAGTGTTTGGGAAGCAGAAGGTCCCTGAGGATATTCGGGTATTGGGTTGAACTCTTTTCCTATGGCAACCTTAAAAGATGTAAAACTGGTACTGTTGTGAACAGAGTTATTGTAAGCCACCTCTGCGAAAGGGAGGAGGTCAGTTCAGTTTCTTTGCTGATAATCCACATAGCATCTGAGATACTGCTCCACCATTGAGTTCGCTTTTTCAGCCGTGAAAAGCCTATGACAGTGCTTGTGATGAGCCAATTAACTTGAGGAAATCCCTCCAGAACTTGGCCGTAAACTGCACCCCTGAGTCTGGTGCAGTTTTGGTGCGCCGTGCAGCTTGTGAATGTGCTTCAGAAACATTTTGTTTAGTCTTTTTGGGCTGACGGAAGTCCTTTACAGACGATGAAATGAGCCCGCTTTCAAAATAGATCTATCACAGTCCAAATCACCATATTCCCCCTACTTTCAGGTAATTCCACTATAAAATCCATAGCAATTTCTTCCCATGGCTGGGAAGGGTCCGCAACCAGTTGTAATAATCCAGAGGGTTTTCCTAGAATTTTTTTCATAGTGGCACATACAGCACAGCTCTTGACATAGTTTTCTATGTCCCGTTTCAAACCTGGCCACCAAAATTGTTGTCGAACCAGATACAGCATTTTTAAATAGCCAAAGTGTCCAGCTTGTTTCACATCGTGACCATGAGTGTTGAGGTGGAGGGTTTCAGGCAAATACAACTTCCCTCCTTTGTAAGCCAAACCATTCCTGCATGTCAAGGAGATTTCATTGTCCTTGAACCATCAATTGTTGAGGAGTTCCTGTTTTAATTTTCTCACCCCAGGGTCATCGGGGTTTGGGACTTTCAAAGATGGGGCTCTTTATGGCGTTAGTTGCAAAGCAGCTTGCAGTGTAGATATGATTGCTTCATTAACCTCTTCATGCTGGCTCTTGTATTTATCTGGATAAAGCGTCAGCTAAAATGTTTCTCCCCCCCCCCCGGTATGAATTTCATGGTGAAGTTAAATCGGTTAAAATATTGCGCCCATCGTACTTGCTTCGGGGACAGCTTGCGGGGAGTTTTCAGTGCCTCTAGGTTTTTGTGATCATACTTCAAAAGGCACCTTTCTCCCTTCTAGATAGTGCCGCCAGTTTAATAGAGCCCAACGAACTGCAAAGGCTTCCTTCTCCCACACTGCCCACTTTTTTCGCAATTGGTGAACTTTTTCGAGGTGTAGGCACAGGGCTGCAGGACCCCCTCATGGTTCTTTTGCAATAATACAGCTCTGACGGCCACGTCACTGTCATAGGCTTGAATCACAAAGAGCTTCCCCAGGCAGGGATGCTTCAGGACTGGCTTGACGGCAAATATTCAGGTTTTCGAAAGCACTGCAATTCATGTGGGAACGTATTTGATTGGGGAAGATCAGCTTCTCCAGATCACCATCAAAAGTTGCTCTAAGGGGTGAGGCCATCATGGGCTGCTGCCCCCAGTGCAGCTGCATTCCCAGAGGTTGCTGCCTTACCTGCTGTGGCTGTTGCATCCCCAACGGCTGCTGACTTCCCAATGGTGGCTGCGGCATCCCAAGTTGCTGCAGCCCCCCAGCGGCTGTTGCATATTAAGGGGCTGTTGCCAACCTCACTGCTGCTGCACTCCCAATGACTGCTGACCTCCTGATGGCAGCTGCAGCATCCCCAGTTGCTGCAGGCCCCATAGCGGCTGTTGCACATTCAGAGGCTGTTGCCAACTCCATTGCTGCTGTGCTCTCAAAGGCTGCTGACCTTCCTCTGGTGGTGACTACAGTATCCCTAGTTGCTGCAGGCCCCACAGCGGCTGTTGCATATTCAGGGGCTGTTGCCAACCCCACTGCGCTGCACTCCCACCTGTTGCTGACCTCCCAGCGGCGTGGCTGCGGCATCTCCAATTGCTGCAGGGGCCCCAACAGTTGCGGCGCTCTGACCTGTTGCTGCCTGGCCAATAGGTCACACAGCTATTGTATTAAACTTTGTTGAACGCTTACATCTGAGTCTCCTCCCTGCATGGGCCTTGGGCTTGGGAGGCACCGACGGTGATGCACAGGGCTCTGTGACCAATAATAGCAATGGTCAGGGCTCTCAGGTTACTTGTGGCAATCTGGACTCCGGCTGCCTGCTGGTGGCTCAGGCTTTGGTAGTGGGACCGCTTGTCAGGGCTGCCATCATAATCCTGCCATCTGGAGCTGTCACAGCAGTGGTGTCTGTCGAGGGATCGTGATGACTGACGTGGACCAGGGCTGGCTGGAGCTCTTGTGTCATGAGCGGTGCTCTGGAATTCTGGAGGAGCGATGACATCTCAGACTGCTGTGTTCAGAGTGGGCAGCTGGGACTGTCCTTTCCCATGGGGCTGGAGGTTAATGCTGGTGGCTTTAAGGACGGAGAAGCCACTTGTGCTCCATACGTGGGACTGAGGCTTCTTTTAGGCACAGATTGATGTCTGCTCCACTGATCATCATTATCACTTGCATGCAGAGAGTAAGAAAGTTGTTCCCCACTCCTCACCTCTAGTCCCTTGAATCTCTCTACCAACTTCTCCACCAATTGGCTACGGACTGCGGACAGGTACTTCCATTCTCCAGAGTCCTCAGTGGTTGCCAATTTCTTGGTTCTCCGAGAGTCCGGAGAACGTGATTCTTCGTTCTTCCTGCTTGCAGGTTGGCTTCGGACGCTTTTGAAGAACTTGCCATTGGCAGGGTTGCATTGAGGTGCTTGGAGTCTCCACTGGGCAGGGTCCACTCCGATGACCAGATTAGCTCTTGCGTCTTTGATCTTTTCCCCTGCTTTAGGGCTTCAAGCGTCTCTTTCTCCACCGGTGTGCTGGCTTGTGCTCCCTCCGCTGAGGCAGCAACCATGACCAGGATGCTGGTTTCAGGTGCTTCTTACTTCTCCTTGCTGAGGTCTTCCCCGAGTCTTTGTCAGCCTATCTCTCGACTTAGGGAAAGTGACTGGAGCTTAGGACCCCAAGGTGGTTAAGGTAGAAAATCTAGTTTTTGGGTTAATGTCATGGCTTTGATAGATGAAACCCATCAAAAGAACTTATTTGGGAAACAAGATATCAGCACTACATAGTTGAACCCAAAAACTAAATTCCCTTCTCCCGGATACAAAGTAACAAAGTACAATTCCCACCCCCAATAAGCTATCATAAATGGGAGCACCCTAAACTGGAAGCATCCCAGGGGGCAATTAAACACAGTCTTCCACTTGTCTCCTTCCCTAATTCTTATGTGGTAGTATGCCTTCCTTAAATCAAGCTTTGAGAAAATTCTGCCCTTTGACAGGTGTGCTAGCATGTCCTTCATCAACGGTAACAGATATATATTTTCCATGCAGGCTGAATTGAGGCTCCCATAGTCTATGCAGAGCCA